TGCACACATACACACACGCGCCAGCAGCTGCACGCCATTTGAGGTGCCGCGAAGTGGCGCTTTCTTGCGGCCCACGCGTCTGCCGGTGGTCGTGACCGCGGCGCGAGCGCGCCCGGCAGGCAGGCAGGCAGACAGGCGCGCAAGAGAGACAGACGCTGCGCTGCCGGCATTCGCCGGCCAGGCCGCTCAGGTGACAGGCGAACGGGCATCAATCAAGCTGACAGTTGAGGCCAGAAGTGAAGGCGAACCGAACAAGTCGCCAGGCCACGTTGCAGCCGGCAGCATCACCGCCCCCTATCGATTTGCTGTTGCAGAGCGGGCAAAACGACTCGTCTCGTCTCGTCTCGCCTGTCAGACGCTCGGCTACCCCACCTCCCGCGCCGCGGCCAGACTGACTCCCACAACCGCGTCAAGCAGGGCTCGAGTTCGATTTGTGCGCATCGATCGACCGAACCAAACCGAACCGAACCGAGTCGAGTCGAGTCGAGTCGAGCCTCAGTCAATCGGGTCTGCTCGGGCCTGCTCACTGCCCACCTCGTTCCGCCCCCCTCCGCACGGTGCATCATCTCCGTGCCAGTCCGCGCCAGCCTCGCGTCGAGTTCAACTTCCAACTGCCGCCGCAGCCGATCGATCGATTGATCGGTAGATTGATCGCCGAGCCGCACCAGCGTCGGCTCTCGGCTCGTGCGCGCTCGCCTCGGTCAGACGTTTTGGAATTAGCCGCCAGCCGTCCAGTCCAGCCGCCCCTTCAATCTTCCACCACCCCCCTTTCCACTTCGTCTTCGATCCTGCGTCGAGTGGGGCCCGGAAGCGGACTTGTGGATATTTGCGTGCTCGAGGCTGCAGAGAAGCGCCCCTCCCAGCGCTCGTCTCTCCTCTTTCCTCAGCCTGACATGCCAGCCCCCGAGGCGCCTCAGAAGACGGACAAGTAGCCAGAGCCACATCTACCCGTCGTGCCCCTCCACCCTCGCCTGACTCTCCTCCCATGGCAACTACATGGCAGCAACCTCACAGGTAGGTAGTGGCAAAGTTGCACTCTGTCTGTGTGTGTGTGTGTGTTGCAGTGCTGCTTGTTTTCCAGTTAGTGGGCCCAAGTGCGAGACTGCACAGGCGTACAGCCGGTCGCATCGATCGGTTGGTCGGGTAAATTGGGTGCTGGTGTTGCGCCCTCGTGGACTGTCGGCGTGTCCTCGAGGTTGTGCTCGCCAATGCGCC